ATGTAGAGTTGCAAAACGAATCCACGCGAGCAACTTAAAAGCCGGTTTTTTAAGCAATAAATTTATAAAAAAAAAAAAAAAATAAATAAATAAAATTGAAACGCTCGCCCGATTTTACGCGAGCGAAGTGGATGCGCTCGCGTGAAATCGCGCGAGCGTTCCCAAGTATCGTTTTTTTTCGAATTTTTTTCGAATTCGTAATCTACATAACAAGAGGATCGTAAAAACGTAAAAATTACCTCCGATCTGTTGACGATTTGCACGGGCTTTGCGAACGAAAATCGAAAGGGTAGAGAGAGTTTTTTGAGTTTTTTACCTTTTGTTTTTTGAGAAATGGTAAAAAATGTGCCTGAATGTTTAATTTGTGCGTGCACAAATCATTTCAGTATATATATATATGCATTTGTCAAATGCAATATATTCAAAAAATAAAAGTTAAAACGTCTCTCTCTCTAGACTCTCTCTCTCTCTCTCATTGATTCATCACTCATGGTCAATATCCTCAGAAGGCGACGGACGTTACTGTAACCTCTGTCTTCATTTAATAAGACCCCCTCCTCCAATCGAATCTCTTTCTCTCTCTCACACACATTCACACACACACACACCAGCTAGTGTGTGTGTGTGAGCTGCTCTCTGTCAGTCTCATGTGCTCTATCTATACATCCTCCCCCCAACCAAACGCCATTCACCACCACTAGTACTCCTTTTATCCATTTCATTTTCCCCTCATTAATTTTATTTTATTTTATTTTCACCCCTCTCTCTCTCTCTCTCCCTCTCTCTCTCTCTCTCTCTCTCTTCAGTGTGTTAGTTTGATGAAATGGGCTCGAGATTTTCTACAATATTCTTGATTATTCTGCATTGCTGGGTTCTTCTAGTTTTGAGTTACGATCAAGGGTTTTCCGATGGTGCGTTGAAATTACTAAAAACCCCTCATGCATTATCCAATACAAACTCCGCCATTTTCGCTTTTCAAGTTCTTGTGGGGAGCAACGGCACCGCCACCATTTGTACCGACTGTGCCACCAATTGCAAGGTCGGATTTTTAGCTGTACACACACATTTACACACACTGAAGGTTTTATCTTCTTGATTTCTGACCGGCCACCTTTCAGATTTAAATCTAGTTAGTTAGTTCTGTGCATGCAATTACTATGCGGATTGTTCTATGCAATTTTTAGTTGAGTTTTAGCTTTCGATACAAATTTCACACACACACACCCGCATGTGTGTGTGTGTGTGTGTGTGTGTGTTTGCCAATTAAAGTTCCATTCTTTTTCCTCCATAGAGATGGCACCATCTGTAAATGTTTCTAGCTTGTGATGGATAAATAAATAAATCATTATTTTTATGTTTGCCATGTGGAGATGTAATATAATAATATAAACAGGGATGTCTGTTTTTTTTCCTATATTTTGATATTTAATTTATTGTAAGTTATGAAAATTACAATCAACCCCCAACTATGAATCTTCTTACACGTCGACCCTTGCGGTGTCAAATTTAAAGGAATCTTCTAGATTGTGTTGAATGTTTTCCAGTTTGTACCCGTTTTACCCCATTCGAGCTACACATTTTGCAACAAGTTGATCGTAAAATATGTCTCTTGACTAGTAAATATCATAATGTAGTGCATCGGAAACTGCATTTTTGTACAAAACGAGTACAAACTAGAGAACATTCCACGGAATCTAGAAGATTATGATGAATTTGACACCATAAGGATGTATGTGTAAGAAGATTCATAGTTGAGGGGGTGTGGTTGTAATTACCCAAACATGAGGGAGTTTTTGTAATTTGACCTTATATCAGGGGTGGCCGTAATTTTTTCCTTTAATTTATTAAAGTTATAATCTTTGTACATATGTTTATTGGCAAAAGGTCAGATGGTATAGTTTCTTTACTGCAATATCGAAATGCCAAAGAAGCTGTTACTTTTGTTATTTACCAATGATGTCATAATGTAAAAATTATTTAATTTAATCTTTTTTATCTGATAAATATAATTTTCAAAAATCCCACAAAATGCAGCTGGATCACGGCATCTTTTCAGCTTGCGAAGGTGGAAACGTTTCGTATTCAAGATTGTTAGACGGGCCCCACTCGTTCGAGGCGTGCACCGGCACCTCGCCCGAAATTGCCTGCGTTACCTATAATTGGACTATTGGTTAAGCCACCACCCTTACTTTCTTCTAGCTCATCATTTTTTCGAATAATAATATAATCATGATTAATTTACGAGACTAAATAATTATTTTAAACCTTCGTTCGTATTTGCAGATACAGTTAACCCCACAGCATATATTACAGCTGCAACTTCCTTCACAAGTGCTTCTCTTGTTCCGGTCAACATATCCTTCACCGAACCATGCGGTCGTGGTTTCACGTGTTCTTCCGTAAATTCATGCAACGTGAGTAGGTGTAAATTCTGTTTTTCTTTTTTTTTAATAAAGAATAATCCCGAATTCCTAAATTTCGAAATTTTGGTGTCGACAGCTTCTTGTTTACGGTGCTGCTAAGGTTGTTCCGGAGACACTAACCATTATCGAGCCAAACTTGAAATACTCAATTATTATCCGTGTGTCTGAAAAAGTTCGATACGGTCGTTTTATCTTGGTAATGGATAAAGATTTCTGTAGTGACTCAGCAGGAAATCGATTCACGAGGACAGATAATTCAAGTTTATTCATACATTTCGGTGAGTTTTATTTATTTTTGTTGTCTAATTATTTTTCGGTACAATATTAGTAATGTAACTCTCTCACTATTATGATGATGCAGATAGAAGAAGTGTGTTTGTGAATTTAAGAACGCACATACCCGAAAGGCTACTTGAAATAAAAAGCGAAACTCGAACCGTATTAGCAACGAACAAGAACAAGAATTTAAAAGTGTATCTATATTTCACCGAACCAGTTACAAACTCATCCTCCGAAATCTTGAACTCACTCAACACGAATCAAGGCTCGCTTGTCCCTATAAACGGGAGTAGCTACGGACAACGTAGATTCGGTTATCAGGTTCGTTTTATTACACTTTTGGTAAATAAATATTTTATTAACAAAATAATCCCTCCTATTTTATATAATTACTAATCTCCTTTTCGGTGCAGATTGTAAATATATCAGATTTGTCAGTTGTAACTGTTAGCCTCGATTCGAGCTCTGTAATAACTAGACAAGGGACCCCTGTGAGTCCAGTTTCTCCCGTGACTTTCCTCTTCGGTACGGAAGCTTCCAAGGGTTACGACGTTACGACTTATGTAGCAATTTATTATATTTTTTATATATATATTTCTCGTGTGTCGTAGATTCTGAAAGACCTCGTGTAAAGCTAAGCACAACGTGTACCATGCGAACCAAAGAAAAGAGTATTCTTATACTAATCAAGTTTATGAAGCCCGTTTTCGATTTCAACTCGTCTCACGTTTCTATTTCGGGTGGACATTTGCAGAGGTTTGAACTATTTTCATACATTAAGGATGTTTTTTTCTTTTTACGACACTCGTTTATTTTTCGATGTTTATGCATTGTACAGCTTCCAAGAAATTAGCAGGAGCAGTTACAATGTGTATATACATGCAGATAATGACGCTATATCTATTAGTATTCCCGAAAACATAACCACGGATATTTCCGGAAATAGAAATAAACCATCCAACACTCTGCAAGTGAGGCACTGTACGAATTCTATCTTCGTTTTTTTTTTCTAATTATAATTACCAGTAGCTCGGGTTTGATAATTTTTAATATCGCGTACTCTTTTGCATGCAGATTCTGTTCCCGTTGAATCGATGGTGCTTTCGTCTTTTGCGACAGCTGTTTTTACTGTGACAGCTTTAATTGCCGGATTTCTAACACTTTCAACCTCGAGTTTATTGTCTGCTGGAGCATATTCTCGACCGAGTTCGATCTTATTATCGGACCCCGCAAGAAATCTTTTCGTAATTATTTCCAAAATTTCCACTTATTCTTTTTCTTCGTCAAAATTTCATGGGAAACGATAAAGACTAGTGCTTTTTTCGTTTTTACGCAGAGAATTGCTTCGCATCTTCAAGTATTCGCGCTTTCGAGATGGCTAGCTGTCACTTTACCAGTCGAATATTACGAACTCACGAGAGGCCTACAATGGAGTATTCCATACTTTAATCTTCCATGGGAAAAAGGAGACATCAATTCGTACATGGTGGGGTCCACTTCTCCAAAGGATCGATTATTCAGCCATGATTCCATATTCTTCGAGGGGCTTCAACCGCAAGTTCCGAGCATGGGTTCGTCTTCGAAAGTTTTTGGTTTGCCTCTCACTCCTCTCGAGTACAGATCGTATTTCGAGGTCAGTCATAATTAATCACTTACTACTTAAAATCTTGAACTGTTTACTTTCGTATTTTTTCGTTTTTGATTTTGATTGCGTTTTTCACAAGGCAGAGCCAGACTATCTTGCCAGAAGCCGAGTACATTTTAGATCCGCAAAATTCACACGGGTAAGTATTTCAAAAAAATATATTAAAAAAATTCAAAGTTCGGTAAAACGGTTAGTGATTAATTAATACGATTTTGTTTCGTCCAAGGTGGCGAGATTTCAGCAGAAGCATGTTTTGGCTAGCAGTAATTACTGGGAGTTTGATATTATTACATGCATTACTATTTATGGTACTTAAATTCCGAAAGAAGAACAAGGAAAAACAGAGCTACGGCGCACTTATTTTTCCGAGATTCGAAATCTTCCTTCTTATACTTTCGATCCCCTGCTTATGTGAAGCCTCTGCATCTTTAATCAAAGGTACAACTTCAAATAAAACCCGTCGTAATTCTTTTATCGCAAAAAAAAAAAAAAAAAAAAAAAAAAAAAAAAAAAAAAACTAATTTCGGTTTACAATATTGTTAATTAGGAGCATCATCTTCCGGAACAATAGTCGGAGTTCTGTTGCTAAGTTTAGTCACGTTCACGCTGCTTTCGTTGCTATTATTTCTCTCATACGGAATCACATTCGGTAAATTACTTCAATACAAAGAAGTCCACCAAGTCGGTCAACAATTCCACTGGTATCAAGAAATCATTCGAGTCACGCTAGGCCCCGGCAAAAGAGGCCAATGGACATGGAAAAACGAGCCGCATTCGATTTATTCCACCATTTTAGGACCGTTGTACGAGGATCTGAGGGGCCCACCTAAGTACATGCTGTCGCAAATATCCATCTCGAACAAATCATCGAGCGACAGAATCATTGCCTCGGACGATGAAACGGAAGATGCAGAGGCGCCGTGCGTACAGAAACTCTTCGGAATTCTTAGGATTTATTACACGCTAATCGAATGCGTCAAACGAGTGATTCTTGGAATATTCTGTGGGGCCTACTCGGAAACGTGGTCTTCGAAAAAACCCACAATTGCCCTTCTCTTGGTAACTTCGTTTCAGCTCTTCTTCATTGTTCTAAAGAAGCCATTCATAAAGAGGAAAGTGCAGCTGGTCGAGATTATCTCAGTTTCTTGCGAATTAGTCGTTTTCGTCCTTTGCTTGGTTTTATTGGATCGGGATTTTTCGCCCGAAAACGAGAGAAACATCGGGGTCACAATGGTCTTTTTGTTCGTATTGTCTTTTGCAGCACAAATGGTGAACGAGTACTACGCGATTTTCAGACAGATAAAAGAGCTCGACCCCATTAAAAACTCGTTCTTGATTGGATTAGAAACGGCTTTAATCGGATTCGTCTTGTTTATCTGTCCTCACTGTTTGATCAAGAATTTGAAGAATAGGTTCCCGATAAACAACTCCGGCGAAACGGGTAGTTCAGTTCGGAATCGGAGCTCCGCCAGCGGCAGCCGGAGCTCCGGCGAGAAGCCGTGGCTGAGGCACATAAGGGAGCTAGCTAGGTCTAGTTTTAGTAAAGAAGGGAGTAAACCGAACTCGAGTGATCCTTCTACGAGTAAGACGAGATGGAGTGGGTTTTGGAAGAGTAAGAGAAGTGGGAGTTCTTCGGCTTCGACTTCGATGGATTTTAAATCGAAACCGAGGGGGTTGCATAAGGAGTTGGAAGATATTTTTGCTTCTAAATGAGGTGTCATTTGAATTGAAAAATGGAGGGAAAATAATATTGTAGTATGTATGTATTCTGTCACATTTAAAATCAGAGTTAAGAAGATCATTCTTGTTTCTTTTTACTTATGTTGCTCACATGAATTATAAACCTATCCAATCCATATGGCGCTCAGGTGTTTGCGGTCGAGAAACTGGAAGCGTACTGAGTATTGTGATGGTCCGCTCCCTATACCAATCCATGTAGTCGGGTGTAGTGTCCGGCTCTCCTAATACCACTGGAACTGATCTGGACCGCTCATTAAGCAAGTGATCTTCCCATCGCTCAGAATATATGTTCTGGTACGCCGCAAATACAGGATGAGGTGTGCCCCGCTTCTGCTTCCTAAACATAGCGTCCGACATGTACGGTTGGCCGGGAATCTTCTGAACACGCCCGAATTGTCTCAAGACCCTGTCCGGATGGTAAGGCTCCAAAGTACGCATGTACTGTAACATGCCACTAAACCACGTGGACTCTGGCATAGGAAACCTGTCACGGAGGACCTCATACGGGGCCCATATAATCTGCGACGGTAAATAAATTAAAATGAAGAAACAAAAAAGTAGTCGAAATGAGTTAAAATTTAAAAATTGAAAAAACTAAAAAAATAAGAAAGCAGTCAAAATTAGTTAAATGAGTACCTCATCGAAGCTCAGATCATCTATCAGAGTAAGCAGATCACGGGCTCTGTCATTGCTTGAGTCGGACTTCAGTGGATATACCCATCGTGTAACTAACGGTCCCTCAATCTCGCCGGACCTAACCGTCGGTGTGAGACGGGGGAAATGCTCGTAAATTCAACCCTGAAGAAGCGTCAAATATCCACTGATTTGCTTCGTATTAGCCCTTGAAGCATCCGACAACGCCTCATAGAGCAGACACAAACAAGCTGTACCCTATGCGTAAGTCACAATATTGTCCAAATCTTCTAACAAACACAACAACTGCAGTGTACCCATATTTCCCGTCTTGCCCCTGGAATATCGTACATGATAATACGTACAACAAAAATGCCCTTGTCGCACACGTCTTTTTATTCTCATCATCACTATCTGTCACATAAATGAAAGTACTACGCAACCACTCCAACTTAAGCGCAATCTGATTTTGACCCCAACATTTATCCGTCGATTCAAGCACTACTCCGAGAATTCGATTTACGATTGCTTGTGACGATGGCCCCGTCTTATTAATTTGTTGAATAAATACCGGCCGTCCCACCACTAGCAAACCTATCAAGCTGCTGACATCGTCTAGCGTGATAGTCATCTCCCCAAATGGTAAATGAAACGTACAAGTTGCTGGTTGCCACCGCTCTATGAAAGTCAACACCAATGCACTATCTATCACCTTGTACGAATGACGTACAAGGGGCATCAAACCGGACCTCTCGACAACCTCGGTCATAAAAGGAGTCATCCGCCACTTCTCCAACATTGTTGTGTGATTATGAACCCTCACACTTTCGCGCTCCTACAATTTTAATTAAAATAAACATTCAATCAATAAAGTAAATAACTTCAATAACATATGTATATGTGTGTCTATAAGTGTAAAAGTACCTTTCCGGACAAAATCTGTCGGGCGATATGATTCTCAAACTGCGGCATCAAGTCTGGTATTTGTGGTCCTCTGGGGCCAGCCGATTGGCTACTAGATCCACCAACTTCGGTGGTCGATGTGAGCGGTGGATCCTCAGGTATGGACAATGAAGGCTCAACATCGGTAGGTAAACGTGTACGATTGGCCGGAGGATCGACCCGAGTAGCTTGAGAATCGCCACGTCGAACTTTACGATTGACCAATGCATGCCTTTCTCTTGCGCTCAGAAGCAGTTTGGGGAATACGCGGTTCCACTGGAAAAATATAAATATAATATTAATCATTTATAAAAAAAAAAAAAAAAAAAGTTTGCAAAAAAATAAGTTTACCAGTCAATTTTCGACATCATAGTGTCGATATTTGTACACAAAATCGACATAAGCTATGTGTCGAAAATTGTACACAAATTCGACACAGCGATGTTGAATATTGCACCAAAACTCGACACCGGGTTTATGTCGAAATTTTGTACAAATATCGACATTGAGATGTCGAAAAAAGGTCCAATAATCGACAATTGTTTGCTGTCGAAATTTGATGAAAAAATCGACACCAATATGTTGAAATTTTTCCAAAAACTCGACAAGTACAGGTCGTTTTTTGTAAAACCGCAACTCCTTCAACAATAGTGCTACAATCGAACCCTAGAATCATCAACTATGTTCTAAAATGACTTGAATTCATTATTCTAACAATAAAATCGTGTTTATCAAATTTATTTCTCAAAAAAAAGTGAATTCAAAAAGTAATTTCCTTACTTTCTTTTCGTGAGATTGTTGTGGCGGGGTTGGGGCAACAACGGACTTCAACGGCGACGGGGAGGTGGTGGACTTCAACGGCGACGGCGACGGCGACGGGGCGACAGTTGAGTGCTGCAATTGATTTTTTTGTTTTCTTCTTCCCTTCTTCCCTCCTCGTTTTTCAATTCTCAATTCAATTTCTTTTTTCTTTCTTTTTTTATTATTTTTTCTTTTTTAAATTGGTCTTGCAAAAGGAAATTAATAAAATCATTTTTATTTTGTTTGTATTTTATTAAGGTTATTATAGTCTTTTTATACTGAATTTAATAAAAAAAATTAATTTGGTCTTGCCCTAAGTAATTTTCGTCTTGCAAATAGTCGCTGCCTTATGTTATTACAAATATATAAAAAGTATTGTAAATTACGGCTGCCCCCTGAATTAATGTTAAATTACAAAAAAATCCCTATTTTTTTTGGGTAATTACATATTTACAATCACCTTTCAACTATGAATCTTCTTACGCGTCCATCCTTATGGTGTCAAAATCAACATACTAGTTTCTACTCGTGTTGTGTAGAAATGCAGTTTCTGATGCAACACAATATCTTATGATCATCTTGTTGTAAAATGTGGAGCTCCAATGGGGTAACACGGTTACAAATTGGAGAATATTCCACATAATTTTAAAATATTCCACATAATTTTAAAATATTCCACTAAATATGACACCGTAAGGATGAACGTGTAAAAAGATTCATAATCAAGGGATATGATTGTAATTACCTAAATAGGAAGGATTTCTTTCGTAATTTGACCTTACTTCAGGGGTGGCCGTAATTCACCGTTAAAAGATTGATGTTACATCCTAACTTATTTCATTCAGTGAAGTAAAAACAAAGGAATTTCTGCTAAAAAAAAGGGAAAAAAAAGAAGTTGAACTTGGGAGAAAGCATTTGATGCTCAAGAATAATTAATACATAAAGAAAAAAAGCAGTTTCAATACTACACCCAATGTCTATTCTTATTGTATTTTTAATCATATTTATTTATTCTATTTTAATTTCTGTAAAAAAAAATAAAAAAAAAAAAAAAAAAGAAAAAAACGAAAGAAAGAAAAATTTCTAAATTCGATTTTCACCCCCTAAACTTTCTAAAAAAGTCATCGGTGTGTTTTTCTGTAATATATAAACACCAGTTGCAGAGTTGAGAAACAGCCATCTGTGCATTTGTTGAGGACACCAAGCAGATTCAAACTTCCAACACCTGTTTTCTTCTCTCTCTCTCTCTCTCTAACATCTCTCTAGATAATTATATATATATATATAAACCGATTAAACAATAAAAAAATGGGATCAATTTTCAGTTCACCGAAGAACAAGGAAGACATAGATATGGCTCTTGCTAAGGCTAAGCAGATCGTTTCATCCAACTCTGTCGTTGTTTTCAGGTCATTTTCCTCTTATTCTTTTGCTTCATTAGTTCTTGATTATGAACTTCGATTTTTCTTTTTCTTTTTTATTATTATTTTTTTTTTAATATTTGGTGATTCAGTTATTGGGACTCTTGTAGAAACAAAAATGAAATTCTCTACGCAATTCGTAATAGAGCAGTGTTGTGTTCTTGGATTCAGATTGAATGAGGAGTCTTGAAATTGAAAGTAATCGAATAAATGAATTTTGGGTCATGATAAAGTTTCAATCTTTTTTATTGTAAATAGGGGTAAATTACGGCCACACCTGTGATCGAACTACGAAAAAATTCTTCATGTTTGGGTAGTTACAATCCCCCGAATCTTCTTACACGTCCACACGTCCAGTGTCAATTTATAGTCTCAAATTCAAGAGAATCTTCTACGTTTCGTGGAATGTTTCGTGGAATGTTTGTACTCATTTTTGTGCAAAAATGCGGTAGTACCATATTTACAAGCCAAAAGATACATCTTACGATCATCTTGTTTCAAAATGTAAAAAAAAATGTGGAGTTCGAACGGGGTAAAATGGGTACAAATTGGGTAATATTCCATATAATCTAGAAGATTTCACTAAATTTGATACCGGGCGGGCGTGTAAGACAGATTAATAGTTGAGGAGTGGATGTAATTATCCAAACATGAGGGTTTTTTTGTAATTTAATCTTACTTCAGTGTGGCCTTAATTTACCATATTAAGTAAATAGCTATATCTTTACCTTGCCAGAATCAATCAGTGGATGTTAAGGAAAATTAACTCTTTTTTTTTTATGTTAAAAAAGAAAAGAAAAAGATTTGAATGTTTTTCAAAGTGGTTTATATTGTCTTATTATCAAATTAGTTGGAAGGGAATGAATTAGGTTTGCTTTTGTTCATCCTAATTTATATATTTTTTTTGGTGTAAATCCTGTTATTCGAGTTTTCGGTGCTTTCTCGTTTTCGAATAATGATTCTGCACAAAGAATCAATGAGGGTTCATTAAAATCTTGATATTTTTATTATATGTACATGTTAAGTTTACAGCATGGAAAAATAATGCTACAAAAAACATCTTGAATTAGTGCACCGAATTTTTTTTCGATTTATCGAAACTGTACTATATAAATAATATTTTTGCGTTTTGTTTCTTGCAGTAAGACATACTGTGGGTACTGCAATAGGGTGAAGCAGCTGCTATCCCAGTTACAGGCAACTTACAAAGTCATCGAACTTGATCAAGAAAGTGAGTTTTTTAAGTAAACATTCAATCCCAACGTTTGACGATCCAATTAATTACTATAAACGAAGCTAATGAATTATAATCTTTTCGTCACGTGTTTCTTTATAAGGTGATGGTGATGATATTCAGACAGCTCTTTTAGAGTGGACGGGTCAAAGAACTGTCCCGAACGTGTTCATCGCTGGCAAACACATTGGCGGCTGTGACGGTAAAGGGCGTTTTAGTCTTTTCTTTCTATTTTGCTATTTAGTGAATCGAAAATGGTCAATTTATCCGTTGATATATCAAGATTTTTTATTTCCGATTCTCGATTTGCAGCTGTGGTTGCTAAACATCAACAAGGGGCGCTCGTGCCGTTGCTTGCCGAAGCTGGTGCAGTTCCAAAACTTTCGAGTAACGCGTAAATTTAAAATTTGTAAGGATGAAAAATTAAATAAAGCGTGTTATGCTAAGAATGGATCGATACTGAAGGCTAATGTATAGCATAATTGTACTACGTGTTTTTATCAAATAATACTTGTGTTACATTTGTCGATGTTTAATGTGTCATCACATATTTGCTATTTTAGATTAAATAAAAATAAAAATACAGAATCATCGTTATCTAAGGATGCGTTTGGATGGGAGGACTTGATGGAGGAATTTCAAATCCGTATTAAACAGATCCATTGAGCTTGTTTTAGATGGAGTCGTTTGACAACGGATTCGGAAATCCTTAGCTCTCATTTTCCTTTTCAATTGTTTTTTTTTTTCCGAGTAATTTTGGTGGATTTCAAATCGTTCAATCCAAACGCAGCCTAAATGTTTTGGATTATTTGCAACAAAGATGTGTAAGTACCGATAACAAATATAGTAATCCCCATCAAGACGACGAAGACTATACCTGCAGCTTCGAAGCTAGGCTTTCGATAAGTTCTTGAATTCTTCAAGTAGCATACGCATGGAAGCAATATCGAAGCTGTGACGCTAAAAAACACTCCGACGAGCGACATAAGAACCCCGAAAAAGGGTAGAGATAATGCTACAACGAAGCTGCTGGTGAGTAATATAGTCCGAATGTAGAATCTCTTCTTGTTGCAAGACTTGAGACAGACTCTCGATTGCATCGACGATTGGTTTTAGCATCAGCGCGTATTTGGCTATGGGGTTGATTAGGACAGTGTAGATAGCCATTTTAGAGCTCAGTTTGTCCGTCGGAAGGTTCAGCGTTATCTGGGATTGTAGCTCCGAACCGAACATCATGTACCCCAAAATCGCCATTGTTGTGTAAGTAACCGTACAAAACACAAAACATACGAGCAGAACCTGCAAAAGATGCAAAAGAGAAAGGCATATATGAATTAATCACAACTTTGATAACTTTGATGGTGAGAGACCGAGTTATCTAAAATTCAAAATGTAACTTATTCATGCATAATTTTGTCTCCCGACACCCAGCGTAGCTGATTAAAGTCGGGTTAGAAAGGTAACAGTTTCCGTCTTTTTGACTTTTACCAAAATCAGACTAGAAAAAATTCAAAATCAAATCGAAACGACATTTAACATTTCACATTTCAGATACATACCGAGGAGAAATGTCGTTGGTTCTTCATTGAACTTTACAGCGTAGGAAAAACGGGATGAGCGCAATAACAGAAGGCGTATAAGCTGAAAGATGTAGGCAGTCCGTTCCAATTCAAGATTTCTCCCTTGTGATGAAATCCAACATCGGAAATCCCGGACCACAAAACCGAGCCAAGTACGACTACCGAAGCTAACACTCCAGTAGCCGATACATACGAGAGAGTGGTCATATTGTTTATCCAGACAGTAGGCGTCACAATAAGAGCACAGAGTAGAATAAAACATTGCTTTCCACTAATACTTACGCCGTATATATCGATATTTAAATTCAGTAATAGGTTATGCAAATTATCGCCAGCTAGTATAAGAAAGCCTGTGGCGACCAAGTAAAGCTCGAGATTCGTGAAAATGGAGACGATCAGTCGTCCGGTTTTACCGAAAGCCTTGTCGCCGATATCTGGATAGGTTCTTATGTTCGGATCGATCTCCATGCATTTTGTTATTAGTAAGCCCGTGTAGAAAGTTGCACTTGCGAGAATGAAGAGAAGTATTAGGCTTAGCCACCCGCCCGATGATAACGCGTAAGGAACCGACAAAATTCCGACCCCTGTAAGTAAGATTTAAGAACATGGTACAAAAAGAAAAGAAAAAAAAAACGAAGAGGGAAACAAACCTGAGAGGGCGTTTAGTCCGTTGAAAGTTGTCTTGAAAAACGAGGTTCTTCCGTTCAAGTAGTTGAGGCTAATGTGATCAACTCCTTTAGCTTTTTCGACATCGGGAAATTCGTTTTCGATAATTAGAGGAGCGGTAATATCGGACTGCATTTTTTATTCTCTTGCTTGAAAAATTAAAATTGAAGTTAAATAGAAAAACTACAGGGGTGAAAAAATGCAGGGAGTCACTTTTTAATTTATTTTATTTAATTAAATTGACCAAAAATACACTTTTAAAATGATTTTACTTTTGTGCATGATCTTATAAAACAATTGTGATCCAAGTTTAACGCGGTTTTAATTTAATTAATTAAGCATAAGGTGCTTTGATTCATACTAGCATATTATTTCAAGAGTGAAAAAAAAAATCAATTTAATACATAATAAGAAAATATAGTACATTAACATAGTAAAATTCAATAATACAGTATTATTCATATTTTATATAACATTAGTTTTAAAAAAAATTACATATTAAGATTTATAATTCAAATACATAGGTTTAGATTTAACAAATCGAATTTCTATTTTTATCTATTAAGATTTGAGATATATTGATGAAAAATAGGATATTGATAATTGTTGAAAATTAGTACAGAAGAAATATTAAAAATAAATAATTGCAGAATTAACATTAGGGTTTTTTAGGGTTGCCTAGCGTTTCTTTCTTTTATATATAAGATTTAAATGGAATAACTTATGCATGATCTTATAAAACAAAAAATTATAGTTTTCGTCCCTTAAGTCTGCACCAGTTTAATATTTGGTCCCCATGTTCACAAAAAACATTTTCAGTCCCTTATGTTTCGAAAGTGTGACACTTTTAGCCATTTACCGTTAATCCGTCGGTTAAGAGAGTGATTTACACATACTTGATTCCGTTAGTACTAAAGAAATTAACGTAAATGGCCAAAATATTAAATTATTAAAACATAAGGGTCTAAATATATTTTTAATAAATATGGCGGACCAAATGTAAAATCAAGGAAAACTTTAGAGGAGAAAAGTGTAATTTTCCCTCTTATAAAACAATAGTGACCCAAGGGAACTGAGCAAGTTAGATCTTCAATTACTCGTCCTAACGAATTTTAAAAATGGCAAATGTCAAATAAGCCCCTGATAAGACCACTTAACTAAAACCTTCCTATGTAAAGTGGAATTACAAGAAGAAAAAAAAATCTTTATTTTGAGAAATTACATCCAACCCCTAGCATATTGTAAATTTCTTACATCCAAACCCCTACAAAAGGGTGTGAATGTAAGAAATGTACAAATTGCAGGGGGTGAATGTAATTATCGGAAGCTGAGGGACTTTTCATAAATAGACCTTATCTAAGGGGAGCGATTGTAATTTACCCTTACAAAATTTTAATTTACAGTTTGGCAAAAAATGATCAAACAAAAAACTCGTGGGTACATCTGCATTTAAATACTTGCACCTACAAAAACTTTATTCTTTATTCCTTGGCCCAAATCATTGTCTTATTCAACATGCAAACACCATTTCTCTCTTGGCATTTATGAGAGGATAGGCATACCCTTAAATGCTTCTTCCTTCACCTTCTGAAACAAATTAATAAATAAATAAATTAGCCGTCGACTTATATTTTTGGGCAAATTTCGACCACCACTGAGATGTGGTCAAATTACGAAAAACTCCCTCTTGTTTTGTTAATTACAACCACCCCTCAACTACGTTTTGTCTTACACGTCCACCCTTACGGTGTTAAATTTACCTACTGATGGAGGGGGTTTTCGTAAGACAATACATAGTTGAGGGACGTGGTTCTAATTAACCAAACATGAGGGGTTTTTTCGTAATTTTACCATACCTCTGGGTGGCCGTAAGTAGCCCTAATTTTTTTTCTTCTGCTGAAAAAAAAATGAAATAGAAACAAACATCGTATTTTTTCTTACATTAGATGTCTGAATCCACAAATCAAGAGTCTTGATCGCTTTCCCAGATCGATGCGCCACGCGAGCAAGTTCGACTCCTTCTGCAAGACTGTTTACATTTCCACTAACCAAAAGAGCAGCTGCCGCATTTAGCACCTGCCAAAAAATCGAAATGTTTTCTAAATTTTCGGCTCTCGTTTCCAATTTTATTACCGATTTGCCATGATAAGCAATAGTGATGAGAATTACTGAATTACCAAGGCATCGGCAATAGATCCCTTTTCTCCTGATAGAACGCGTCTAAGTACATCCGCATTGTACTTCGGATCTCCACCTCGTAAATCATCAATAGTGCAACGAGGGATTCCAAATTCCACTAATATTTTCAATAACTTGTAAGAAATTAAATCAAGAAAGGGAGTCCTATTTTTATGGGAAAGAAGGTTGCAGAAATTCTTACGCGGATCGAACGAGAATTTTTCTATCTTATCTGGAGTGACATCAAGAACTAGTCCCGGCCCTGTTAAAAGATTTTCCGGAAAATATAAATAAAAAAAATTCCTTTAAATTATGAGAAAAAAAGCTATATAATTAATATTTGTTCGTTACCGAGAGGACTCATTTCATCCAGTCCTTCCGAATGAACTATCAACGCTCTTTTCATGCCGAATCTTTGAAGTGCTTTTGCCATTTTATGGACCTACCAAAGGATAAAAATAAAAAATAAATCGTAAGAAATAAAATCGATCAAACGATTAAATCTTCTTTAATTTTGTGCTCAAACAAACCATTAAATAAGTTTCGTGATTACCAGATCTTCTGTATAAACCCCGACTACTGCAAAAGGAACTCTTGCTGGATTCAACATAGGGCCTAAGATATTGAATACCGTCTTTACTTTAAGCTTCTTTCTGACTGGTCTAACAATTTGCATAGCTGGATGATAAATCGGTGCCATCATAAACCCGATTCCCGCTTCGTTCACGCACTTTGCTACCCCCTAAAAATAATTAAACGAGACACAATAAAATACATTGAAAATGTAAGATTATAATCTAATATATAAGCACATACATACATACATATATACCTCTGGTTCTAAGTTAATTGCAACTCCCAATGCTTCGAGTACATCGGCACTTCCACAAGCAGATGAACTAGATCGATTGCCTTGCTGTTATCCAATGGTCAATTTTTATTTTTTTTTAAATTAAATAAATAAATCTGAAAGAAGATTAATATTTTGCTCCACCTTAGCGACTTTCGCTCCACAAGCTGCAGCGAGAATCGAAGCTCCGGTGGAGATGTTCACAGTGTTTGCACCATCACCGCCAGTGCCGACAATGTCAACTGCGTCGGTCAACCCTTCAACTTTTCGGGAGTGCTTTATCATTGCTCTTGCTAGCCCAACTACCTATTCAATAGTTCACAGCAAGTAATTTATTTTCACTGTTCTCATAAACGAAGGCAATTTTCACTGTCGTCGTAATCACACAAGTAAATGCTTTATTTAATGGACCGGCTATGAACTTTCTTTGATTAAATTCAAACTCAAAGCACTCTTCTATCTCTCGAAGCACAAGAGTTTTATACGCGTATTATCGTACTAAAGCTACAATCTTTCTCCATAATACATGAGTTGAATATATAGCAAGAACCGAACAAAGAAAACAAAGAAAATGCAGTCGATTATATTGACGCAGTCGCAATTCTTGCATCACTCAGAAGCTGGACAGAACTGAAACATAGGACACACTCTGCTATAACTGGCATCATGGAAAATATCGAAAAACCCCACTAAAATCGACATTAAATTTGCAAATGTACACAAACAGAAAGCACTTACTTCTTCATAAGTTTCTCCCTTAGCTCTCAAAAGAACCAAAAACGCACTAATCAAAGCCTCGTCAGCACCATCTAACAAGAAATCAAGAGACGCCTCAGCTTCAGCTTCGGACAAATCCACTCCGCTTATCAAAGACTCTATCAACTACAAATTCAGACAAGAAAAACAAGCCCAAACAAACCATCAAGAAAACAAATTCAGACAAGAAAACCGAAAACAAACTATAACCCATTTCAAAATTAAGCCCAAACACACACACACAGTGGCGGAGCCAGCATAAGGCTAAGGGGGCCATGGCCCCCCGACAAATTTCAAATTTCTATTAGATTATATAGAAATATAAAAAAGAAAAATCATGTATAATAGGCTAATAGCATTATTAACGGCCCCCTTAAAACAAAATATAATGCATTCGCCCCCCGGACTTGAAATCCTGGCTCCGTTACTGCACACACACACACACACAGCAAAGATAAAATGAACCCATATTTTTTATTTTTACCTGACTGAAAGAAGAAACAGGGGATGCATGGCTGCTCGAATTGGGCAAAGCAGACGGCGGGCAAAGAGTAGAACACTTGATACCAAAAGGCGCGTGAAAAAATGGATTCTTTACCACCTCAAATTGCGGGGTAAATTGATGATTTGTTGTAATAGATAAATGCTGAAGCCGACGTGGCGAAAGACAGAGAGGATTTTGATGCAGTGCAGACATTTTGTTTTGCAGGGGAGTTTCAGAAAGAACGGAAGAATTGATGGCAGCACACAGAATTAATGGAGGTCCCTCTTTCTGAAATTGATTGCAATAAATGCAGTCAATTAAAATGTGGGTTTCGTGATTATGAGTTGTGTCGTTGAAATCATGCCAATTGTTGGAAATCCTGAATCGTGAGGGGCGTGTTTGGGTGGATTAGATAAGAAATTGATTTAGGGTTTTGTCAGATCTTCAGAAGCTGATAAACCTAATTTGGCAAGTTGATGATGGTTTGTTACTTCATTTTCTTTTATTTCTGTTTCCTCTTTGACTTTTGATAGTTTGACTTTTTTTCTTTTTTTTTTTTGTATTGAAAATATATTCACTAGATTATGGTACTGGATTTATTGCATTCGACCCCCTACAATTATTCTAATTGTTAAAAACAGATGCTTCATTTTTTTCCATTTTCATTTTGTTTTAGGTAAATTACAGCCAACCCCTTATGTAAGGTTAAATTACGAAAAAACTCCTCATGTCGGGGTAAATACAATCATCTTTTTCACTATGAATATTCTTACACGTTCACCCTTGTGTTGTCAAATTTGACAGAATCTTCTTGATTCCGTAGAATGTTCTCTAGTTTGTAATCGTTTTGTGCAAAAACTATTTATACAATCGCTTACCATTTCCTCTTCAAATCAAATTACTGGCTTTGTTTTCCTTTTATCGTAGGTATGTTAATGCACCGTATGTTTAGAATTCTGTCCAATTGTCATTTATTTATTTATTCAAATTGTACATTTTGTGAATCGGTCCATAACCAATTTCAACTTGTTTTGAAGCGATTGTTGTAATTTTGATGTTTTAGGTAAAACATAATATATATATATATATATATATATATATATATATATATATATATATATATATATATATATATATATATATATATATATATATATATATATATATATATATATATATATATATATATATATATATATAGATCTATATATATATAAATCTCACTCTAGCTATATCTCTCTAGAGATGAAATAGTTCTAAAATATCCATACTAGCTACTCGATGGCGTAACAATTTTTTTCTTGAAATCGCTCTCGTCTCTCTGGATTCATCCTCTCAGCCATGATTGGATTCATGGTCGGACGAATCAGTCAGTTGTTCAAGTTGTAAGGACAAGACATGATATATCTAAAAAGTGATAACATCATTCCAACGTTAAACCTTTGTTCAACAATTTCATTCTTGAAATCTCGCTCGTGTCTCTCGATTCATCCTCTCAGTAGTGATTGGATTCATGGTCGGACGAAGCAGTCAGTTGTACTATGGAAAAATCAGCAGTTTGACTCTTGATTCGACCGGTAATTTGTTGATTATCTTCAGTTTCATATCATCCGGTAACATATCCATTAATAGTGTGCATGTGAATGCTATTTGCTTTGTTTTTTGAACATTGAGGAGCAGGCAATAGAACTTTCAAGAGTTCGAACCTCCGTCAACAGTTCGAACCTCCATCAAGTATCGCGGGCCACTCAGCCACGAACAAGAGTCGAAAAATGCTAAAGAATGCTCTCAAGTTTTGGACTCTTTGATGAATGAATTGCTGAATAATTACAAATGAATGGCCTACCCCTATTTATACAACTCCACTTACTCAATGAATGGTGATGATCATCTTGATCTAATGGCAACAATTAACTCCCAAATACATAAAATGAATGTCCTCTAAGGATACATTAATGGGAGGATTCTAGGATCTTCTACAATCCTCTACTCTTAGGCTTAAATCTTGGGCTCGCTTGATGGGTCGACTAATCCCTTGGTTCCAAGGCAAAATGGGCAGCCCGTGACAATAGGCTCCGACCCAAATGCCCCCTCAACTACAAACTGTGATAGTTTGTACCCCTCCGTTAATGTGTTGTGTGCAAATTGAGGTAGAGTTTTGACCTTTGCTTTAAAATCCAAATTCGATTTAAAACCCCCAAATTAAACAATCAACCAGACAACAAAGACTGTCAGCTCCAGATCAACCTTTGAGGATTGAATACCATGAGAAGAAAACAATATAATAGAGGCTAGGAGACTCGCCATACTAGAGATGGAGAAAAAAATTGAAGCGATAATTGTGTTACAATTGTGAGGAAAGGTACACTCTTGGGCACAAGTGCAAGAGACTGTTCTACATTGAGTGTATTCATTTGCCAAATGAGTTTGAATATTAATATATTCCATTCGACTCGACTCGGTTCGGTTAAAGCTTGTTGTACTCGAACATCAGTTCTGCTGAATCGAAAGGCTCAAGAATACTGATTTAAATAAGAGTTGCAACCAATCAATTGCATGATTATTATGTGATATGCCTAATTGGGCCAACCCAATGGGCTTATAATTTATTTACCTATTGGGCCACGAGCCCAATATTGAAGACCACTATCATCGAGGCCCAATCACCTTCAAATAAGGTTTGGGCCCAACAATCTCGACTAAGGTATAAATAACGATATAATTTCATTTATTGAATGTACGTCCTATTATTTGAGAGATACTTCAACATGTATTCTTTGGACTATTTCCACTATCCGCACGTCTGACTTGAGCGTCAGAGGGGTTTCCGCTGGATCAACCCCCGGCTTAGTTCATATGTTCTATGATTGCAGGTATCTCAAGGTCATCAAGCTCGTGAGCCAGTGATCCACTCTGCTCTTCCAGCTCATCCTACTTCAACTATCTAAGGTAATCTATCTCTAGCATCATCATTATGGAACTCAAAGTGATATTCTTTGAATAGCATATTAGTGCAGGGTCAAAAATATAATACATATAAATCATATTAGAAGATATGAAAAAAATATTCTAAATTTTGAAAACAATGTAACACATTTTTGTAGTGCCATGTCAACATTTTCAAACGATTAATTGACTTTTGAGTGGATAGAGGGATGTATATGTTACAATTGATACTTTATGGGGTGCATTTGTTACAAAATGTATATTTGAGGATGTAATATGTAATTAACCCTTTTCCTTATAAGAGTTGTACATTAGTGGCCCATAATATTGGGCCAGCCCGGTACTGTGGTTTTGGTTAGAATAGGAGATGATTCAAATATATCGATTTTGTAAAATTAAAATTTATATTAAGAAATTTTTGTGAACGTTGAAACGACGATCTTTGCTTGACAGTCGAGTCGGACTAGCTGTTTTCGAACAAATAATAAACTGGCTAAAATTCAATTGGAGCACTTCTTTTGAAGAGTTTGAGGAGCTAGTCGGGGCACATCACTCGCTTAACACAATAAAACAAAAAGACTTTCCTTAAAAAAAATATTGGAAACAAATGATGTAATAAATAAAATGGCAAAGTACAGTTTACACCCTTAAATTATAGGGGTTTGACCAGTTTGTTCCCTTGAACTATAAAACGTCTTAAATACCCTTCTCTATTTAAATTTTTTTGTAAATGCTGATGTGGCACTTTAATTTTATGATTTGTAACTATTTTTTCCACATTTGGACATTTTTTGACTACTTTGCCCCTCTATTCAATTATATATATATATATATATATATATATATATATATATATATATATATATATATATATATATATATATATATATATATATATATATATATATATATATATATATATATATATATATATATATATATATATATATTAAAGCTTTTCCACTGATTTTTTTTTGCTTATTTTGTCAAGTTTTTTTGCTCCGTATTTTCGAGTTTCTTTTCTCGTATTTCTGCTTTTCTTCTCCTTATTTAACCACTAAAAGACCACTGTTTTTTTCTTCTAAAATTTATTAAAATGTTGAGTAACAGCTCAAATACACAAAATTCTTGTACTTCGTGGTACAAGACATCTTATAATGCACGAAAATCACCCCAAAAGTTGTGCATTTAATTAAGGGCATAAAAAAATGCATAAAATTGAACAAAAGGACAATTAGAAAACATATTGGATCCAAAAATTAAACACAATTAAGAAAATCATGTAAACCATAAATTCACTTCAATTACAAATTTATAACAAAATCGACAAGTACAACACATATTAATTATATAATTATTAAGTTTCTTACAACAAACCCCCAAGAAAAAGAGATATAAAACATCGATGTAGTACACAATAAGTTTCTTTTATAAATTAACGTAATTATACTGTCAATGACAGTTAATTAACGTAATTGTACTGCCGTTGCAGTAAATTAATGTGATCAAAATTGAATAATTTGTAAAATTTGAGATCAAATTGAGGTTAAATTAAATTAAGGATAAAATTGACCCGAACCCGTTTCCGTGTTCATCTCTTGCACCAGCTTCCTTAAATTTCCGAATTTTGAATAATCATAGATAGAATTAAGATTTGCGATTTGAAATCCGGAAAACGGTGCCGTATTGCTATTCAGCTTCGATTCGGGAGGTTTTTCGGTTAGGGTTTAGTGTTCTCACCTTTTCTTTATTCGATAGCAATGGAAGCGCCTGAAAAACAAGAAGAAACAGTCAATTATGTAAGTCAGAGTATGTATGTAATTCACCATATCCAGGATGCATACGTTTTTTTTTTGTGCATTGTGTTTGAGTGATCTGAAAATTATGGTGCTTCATGTATTTTATCTCGATTGATCTGGAATTTTCTGTGGAATTTTCTCTTTCTTGTTAAATACTGTGAATTGGTTTTTTTTTTTTTTTTTTTTCTTTTTTTGTTTGTTCTTGCTATTTTGAAATATGCTATTAGAATGGAAAGATTAAGTCTAAGCTCACTCTTTGATTCTTTTAGTATGGTTAAATGACTGTTAATTGTTACTCTAAATGTTAGTCTAAGGCCTCGTTTGGTTGGGGTGATTAGCCATGATTAACTAAAAAATGAGACTTTGTTTGATGTTTGGTATCTCCGATTACTTGCTGGGTCGACCCGCAAATATTATGTTATCGTGCTTTATCTTGCCTTTTAGGCATGTTTCGGATCTTCCAAGGTCCAATAATACAATTGGGGTTCATTAGATTATTTAATTTTATCTTGGCTAATCTTATCTTGGCAACCAAACGAGGCCTAAGATGATATGCACAAATCTGGCAGTAATTTGTCTAGGATTGATAGATTAAATTCGTTTTGTACGACAGAGGACCAAAAAATTGGCTGGGACTGTCAATTGGGGGACGGCAACTGTTGTTGGAGTATTTGCTGGCTTGCTTTACGGTGGTAGCAAAGAGGCTTCTGCTTCTGTCGTAAGTATTCATACCTAAACTTAACTCGTCTTTTTAAGATTATGCAAGATGTTTTTAGTAATTTTATTCTAATCAGGCCAATTATAAGGATTTGAGATGCTTTTTATTTTTATTTTTTATTTTTTATTCTGTTGAACAAATGAATGTTTATCGCCTCTTATCCATGCTGGTGTTCCATAACAATACTCATGACCATGTTTCCTCTGGATTAAGGTGATTGTTTGATATCACCTTTTGAGCTTTGATTTTTAGAAGGTTTGCAAAATCGAGCATTCCACGTTCCATTAATCTGACAGTGATATGTGTAATAGCTGAGAAAAGCTAAGAAGACTGTAACACATGATAATATACTGACACATGATTTTGCTCATAAGGGGGTTGCTCATAACGAACACATGATTTTGCCTACTTTTAATATATATATATATATATATATATATATATATATATATATATATATATATATTTTGGTTTCGTGGATATGACAAACTTTTTGATATTCGGGATCTTCTTAGTGGATGTTATCTAATACCAAATGTTCGTGAAAGACTTTGTTGAGGGAGAAATCTTTATATCTTTATTACAGAGCAAGGATGCAGAAGTATTACTGAAGCTTGGAAGCACTTCAGATAAGCGTGAACAACATCGACTTATGAGAGATGCAATGGAGAAAAGATTTCTCCGAGTCACTCGTGGTTCGCTAGTTGGTGGAATTCGCCTCGGGATGTTTACTGCCGCCTTTTACGGTTTGCAAAACCTGCTTGCTGACAATCGAGGCGTGCATGATGTTTATAACGTAGTTGGAGCTGGTTCTGCTACTGCTGCTACATTTGGTCTAATCAGTGAGTAGACAAATAATTATCGGGATAATTCAAAGAATGCATTTTCTCATGTTGGAGTAGAGTAATATGCTTTTTGTTGATTCTTTTACATTTGATGTTTACAGTGCCAGGTTCATTCCGTTGGCGTTTGAGAAATGCGATGTTAGGTTCGGTTTTAGGTGCAGCAATCTGCTTCCCACTTGGTAAAATATTCTTCCAATTAAGTAGCTGTTTTATGTTGTATAATGTTTTATATTCTATTTTTTCTAACAGTAGACATATGATTGTCTTATTGACGATATTTATCATATTCTTTAAGCCGACGACTTAATATCGTGCTGTTTGGTGAAATTTTAGAAAGAAAGAAAAAATAGATCAGGATCAAAAACAACTGTGTGGATAAATTTGAATGCCGAATTGAAAGCGCGATCTAGAAACGCATTAATGTAGTAGGTGTTTGTTTCCTTTCAGGTTGGCTACATTTGAAGCTTGTTGAGAAAGCAAATGAAGGTACTGCTTCTGAAGTTAGTGATACCTCGGAAACGAAGAGCAATATTGTTGCTGCAGTCGAGACTTGAGACAGGAACTTAAACGAATAGGACTATTTTGTCGAACTGCAATAACCACGATATTCTAAGTCTCAACGGGAAGTAATCGGCAAAGGCTGAAGCAGGCTGTGCTGCCCTTGATCTTGCGCGTGCGGATAATTATGTTTATAAGCAGGGTGGCTAATTTCGACTGTAAATTAGACATATGTTTGTACTTTTTTGAGAATAATGCTAGTAGCTTTATGCCGAAATGATTTATTGGGATTAAGCGCATCGAGAATAAGACATATACTGCATTGTAATACGTGTTCTAAGACAAAATGAACAAATATTAAATTTGACGTGTTTTCCCTCGCCTGTTTAGCCGATGCTTGTTTGTCATTCCGCATAATGCACTGAACGAAAGCTTGTCTTTACACGTTAACTATTAGGATATCTTTATTTACCTTATACGAGAGTTCCATTTTCTCTGTCTCTGCTCAGCCCTCGACTGAATCACGAACGATCTTTTAACTCATTAATGCTTAGCTCTAAACTTTCCTCTTCATTAAGTTACACCATTTATCGATAAACTCCGTCTCATCAGGATCCTGCCTTGTAGATCTGTGCTGGTGAAGCGTTTCAAGAATTTCTTCAGTTTCACCCAACAAGAGAGCCGCTTGACGCACAAACTTCTCCTTCTCTTTTATCGATTTGTGGTGGCACTTCATGATTATGACGCGCATTAGATTGGTAAGGCAAGCCGCCATTATATTCGCAATCATATTCGACAGCTGGTCGAACAATCCCTCGTCTGCTCGGAGATAATCGCTTTGATACGCTATCAGAAGCCTCTGGCAGACCCGATACATAGAGTTCGCAGCTATGACTTTAACCGGCCAGTTTTGGGGGTTCTCCATCAAGAAATCTTTTCTGTCTCGATTGAAATCAAGTAAGGTTTTTTCGGCGTTGTTTGATAGCTCTTGTAGCGTCTCTTTCGAGTTTTTGTATTTGAGAGATGTTTCGTGGAGATCCTTCCCTTGCCATTTACGGTACAGCTCAACTCCTACCCAAATGACATCTGCTCCGTTTCTGCTGTTTACTAACTTGCCCTTTTTATCCAGGTTTTTCTCGATAAGTTTCACGTAGAAGAGGCCTTCGTCGACGCTCTGTATCAGCCAGTTAATCTTTTTCTTCGGAATATTAGGAAGTGCAATGGCGATACTTGTCAACGTCACCAGAGGTAAAGACCAGCACTTTGGTGGTTCTTGAGAGTGCAGGCTCGGGACTTGGTTTCTGTCGACTTCTTTCAACCCTCCGAAGTTGCCGACTTTGTGCAGAAGGCTTAAAAGATTCTTGGGTTGCTGCTTCTTACCTCTCTGAATCAGTTTGTCGACTTCACCGCAGATGCTTGTTTGGATCTTCTGAGGTAGCTCCGCCTCACCTTCGAGTAGCAAAACGTAACGGGTAAAATCTATCTCCGTTCGTGTTTCTAATTCAGAGATCCCATGAACGCGTGACGGGCTGGAGGTGAGCGTGTGCTTCAATTTGTCGATTCCGTAGCAACACGAAAAGATAGGACTTGTGATGATGAAAGTTACGAACCGAACGCCTTTGCAGCATACTACAATCAGTATCTGAACCCCGACAAGAAAACTCAAAATCAGTCCTTTCGTTTTATGGAGAACTCTTCTCCACTTGCGGTTTCTAATCTGCAACGGTAAAGAGCTCTCTTTCCACTCCACCAGCCTCTGTGTCCAATAAGCATCGACTTTGAATTCATCCTTAAAGCTTTTCCCGCCTTTCTCCGACCATCTGAACTTTATTGCAGTGTAGCATCTGAAAGCGGGAGCAATAGCACCAACTGCCACCCCGATCGTCTGAGCAAGAACGATCCACTTAATCGACCACCCGTATTTGGAAGCGCTTTTATCGATTGTTTTCTCCACCATCACCATTCGAATCTCGGCTTGTACTAAAACCAGAGCGGTCAGCAGAGAAACAACGCCCGAAACAGTGCACGTCGGCGACCGAGCAATCACGAACTGCGGGCTGCTGGTTTCTGCCATCACCCAGTATTTCTGAATCATAAGCCGCAGTTTGTCGAACGTGAAACTTTGCTCCTCGGAATCCACGATCATCTGTTCGTCGGTAGCCAATTTCAGCATCTCATAGTACTTTGTTTCCAGGTATCTTTTCGTTGTCGGCACCATGACAGCCGACGACACGACCATAACAAGAGAAACGAGCATGAAGAAAGCCGCCGCGATTTCTTCGGCAAACATCTTCCTACCGCCGAGAAACTGCCTCACTTGTATAATTTGAACACATACGTTTACCACGACAGTTACTACAAGAATGGCTAAAGCGGTTACGTTCATCACCATTTCTCTCTCATCCATTGTCCCCAAACACGTCATGAAATTCGCCATAGCAGTTGACATGAGCGCGAGGCTGCTGATCTTCGCGAGCCGATCGGTAAACGCGTACATCCGCGTCGTGAGATCAACCGGCAGCTTCATCGAAACGGCTAGTAACGTTAGAGAAGTGGCGTTGAGCGTGAAGTACTTGCTGCGGAACCAGTGCTTCTTGCTTCGGAGCCCGTGGAAAGTATCGGCAGCCATTGCAAGCGTGCAAATCAGAGAAGCTGCAGCTACGTACACGCCGATCCACGGCATCGGCGCCTCGAGATGCTTCTCCACATCTGCAGAGAAAGCTTCTTCTCCCGGCATTTCGGTAAGCAATTTCTTCAAGAATTAATTAACTAATTGCCTTTGAATAGCTTTATCTGATTGGTAAATTAGTATTCAAGAATCCAGTGTTCAATATTTTCTTGGGGTTTTCTTTTTCCCTGCAAAAGTGAAAGTTTATCACAGTATTCAAGAACATTTGGGCATGTCCTGGAAACTGAATTATTGTAGGGGTCATGTTGATATGCCAGCGTGGCATTCAATGTTTTTTAACAAACTTTTAAGACGTGTGGGCTCCTTACATGATATTTTAGTCTTAAAAGTTGCAGTTGGGAGCATCATAATAATTGACTCTTATTTAATTCAATTGCTTTGTCCTAATTGATTTTGTTTATGAATTGAAATTCTTGGTTCACATTGAATAGAGGTCTCTTCAATTTTGGCTGCTGCAGCTTCAGAATTTTTTTTCCTATTTATAATATTATCTCAACTGTCTTGGCTTTTAGTCATAAGATTAGATATGACTTATGTTGTGTAATATATCTAAGTAGATCCTGCTCTAGAAACATGGTGGAGAAAATCTAAAATTATCCGAAATTTTAAAATTTAACTGTGCTGCTCTCAGAAATTTAAAGGAATGATGAACTAACGTGATAACCGAACTCTTAATCTCTACGGTGGATTGATGGTTTTGCTCGATCATCAAACCATCAGATTTAGATTAGTGCTACATAACGAAAAATCACAAGTTTGGATGATAGAGAAATTTCGTAGCCAGGGGCGATAAAAGTAAACAGAAGATATGTCTCATCCCTCAGATTTTACGTCTGCATGTTCTTCTCTCGATTCCGAAACACCTATTTCAATGTTAGTCTTGGAACTGAATTCCTGGCTGACTAGTGCTCGCCACTCCTCAATGGAAGCTGCCTGATCAGGGGCCGAGACTGGCAGTTCGCGCTGCTGGAGAAGAGCAATGATTTCTTCGGTTTTACCGAGAAGAAGCGCTGCTTTACGCACGCTTTTCTCCCTCTCTTCAATTGCGTTGCGGTGGCACTTCATTGTTATTACATGTCCTAGATTAGTAAGACATGCTGCCAGTATGTCCGCTATCGTAACCGACAACTGCTCGAACAATTCCTCGTCCGTTGTGTCACTTCGATTCAGAAGAACTGTTGTGGCGATCCTGTACATCGAGTTGGCGGCAATAACCTTTGTGGGCCAGTTAAGAGGATTCCTCATAAGGCAGTCTCGTGCGTCTCTCCTGAACTCGATGACAGTCTTTTCGGCTTTGTCCCGAAGCTGCTGTAGTATCTCTTCGGCATTTTTACCTTTAAGAGACGTTTCCCGAAGATCCTTGTCTTGCCATTTATGGTACAGTTCAACTCCAACCCAGACAACATCGGCCGCAGTTCTTACATTCGCCAGACGGCCTTTCTTATCTAATGCCTTATCTATTATCTTCATAAGACGAAGCCCTTCGGTTACACTGTTCAGTAAAAGTTTAGATTTGTGCTTTCGAACATTGGGAAATGCGAGCGCGACGCTAGTCAGGGTTGCCACAGGTAAGGACCAGCAGTAAGGAAGTTCTCGAGAATTCAGGCCCGGGATTTCATGGCTGTCGAATTCCGTCACCCCGTTGAAGCTGCGAGATTTTTCTAGAAGTTTCAACAAGTTTTCCGATTTCTGCTTCTTTCCTTTTCGAATGACTTCGTCGACCTCTTTGCAGATACTCTCGAGAGTTTCTTTCGGCAGCTCGACCTCCCCTTCGAGCAGCATAACATAACCCCGTATATCCACTTCGTGATCACGCGACGAGACGGAGTGAGATATACGCTTCTGCCTCGTCAAACTTCTGACGTAGTTAAGACACGCGATCGCTGGAGCTGTTACACAGACAGAGACGAGAAGGACTAGTTTGCTCGATGAAACGATCGTGTGCTGAAAATAGATACAGAGTTTGAGAAACAGTCCTCTCAGATCGTGTAGGAATTTTCTGCTCTTGATATGTCGAATACGAAAAGATAACGAACCCTGTCTCCAGTCGACCATCTTCTGTGTCCAGTAGCACTCGACCGTAAACGCGCTTCTGATGCTCGTTCCGCTCTCGTTTCTTGATCGGAAGTTGTTTATGGCTATGAACCATCTTGATGCTGGTGCGATTGTGCCAACTGCCACTCCAACAGTCTGAGCGAAAAGAATCAATTTCGTTGACCACGCGTAATTGGAAATCGACTGATGAAGTATATTGTACTCCATTACTATCCGAATCTCGACTTGCAATAAAACGAGAGCAACGATCAGGCTCAGGATACCAGACGTGGTGCAGGTCACCGAACGAGCTATCACAAACTGAGGGTTGCTGGTTTCCGCCATCACCCAATATTTCTGAATCATTAGTCTCAGTTTGTCGAACGTAAGATTTTCGATTTGTTTGTCCGAAGCCGCCATTTGCAGCATCTCGTGGTACTTTGTTTTCAGGTACCGTTTCGTCGCGAGAACCATTACAGCCGAAGATGCCATCATAACGAGAGAGACGAGCATGACGACTACGGCTATGATTTCTTCGACGACCATTTTTCTACCGTTGAGAAACTGTCGCATTTGAATGATTTGAACGCAGACGTTTACTATGACGGTGACTACAAGAATGGCTAAAGCGGTTACGTTCATCAGCATTTCTCTGTCGTCCATTGTTCCTAGAGATGTCATGAAATTGGCTATCGCAGTCGACATAAGCGCGAGGCTGCTGACCTTTGCGAGCCGATCGGTGGCCGCGTACATTCTCGTCGTGAGATCCAACGGCAGCTTCATGGACACGGCTAATAACGTTAGAGTCGTGGCGTTGAGGGTAAAGTATTTGCTCGGGAACCAATGCTTCTTGCTTCTGAATCCGCGGAAAGTATCGGCAGCCATTGCGGACGTGCAGATCAGAGAAGCTGCAGCTACGTACATGCCTATCCACGGCATCGGCGCCGCGAGCTGCTTCTCGACGTCTGCAGCAACAACATCTTCTCCCGGCATTCGTAGCGAATTATCGGAGGTAAGTCCTTTGATTCTATTGCAGTGCAAAGTGATAAATGAGAAATTTTCTTGTTTGTTTGCTCAACAACTGATAAACAAAGGACCAAGATCTAATTGGTCTTGCCTTTTGGGCCCTTAAACAAAAAAATAGTGGCAACTTGTTACAATTTCAAATTTGGTTTTATATATATACTAGTATTCAAGAACATTAGGTTTGACTTGGAAACTCAGCCAGTGGGGAAGTCACTGTAGGGCCAGATGGGGCCATGCCCCCCACCTCAAATGTTAATTTTTTTTACTATTATTATATATGTATGTATATATAATTAATTTATTGCATTTGTATTGTGCTCTTATATTTTTTTAACAATTTAGTATTGTATAAAAAGTGAATTTAGGTATTGTAGTGAAGAAAACATAGAAAAATAATATATGAGTTACTGAAGTCCATCCTCAATTGAATTTTTTTTCACTAGATTATATCTATATATTTATTCAGTCCCACCAAATTTTTATTAGTTAGTCCATTAAAAGTCTGAATTAATGCAAAAAAATTCTAAAAAGATTTTAATTTCATATCTTCTGGTTTTGTCAAAAAAAAAAAAAAAAAAAAATCCTAAATATTTTTCAGTGACGCTGCCCCCGAACCCTAAAATTTGATTATTTTAGTGTATATTCGGCCCCTAGTTATAAAATCCTTGCTTCGTCACTGAACTCAGGCATCATAGTGTCACACTGAGATTACTGCTATTTGCATGAATTACTCTACACACTACCATACTTTCCCAATATTACCCTTAACGAGGTTTTTTGGGATTTTGTTGGGGAGTCAGATGCTACACCTGATTATTATACATTGGGTGTATTGGAACTGTAGATTTCATTAAATAATTATCCATTAAGCATACATACACATGGGGTTTATGTGTAGATTTATGGTCCAAATTCACTCCGTGTAAATAATCAGGTGTAGCATCTAATTCCCGATTTTGTTGACTAGATCTTTAAAGATTATGCTCTAGTGAAAACTGTTTTTGGATCTTGCAATTAGCCGCCCTAATAGAAAATTATATATTCTCTGTCATCATGACAGGATGTTATTTAATTAAACTGATTAGTCCTAATTGATGTTGCTTAGTGAACTAATATTCCTTTAGTCCCCACTTGGTCTGATGAAAGTCTTACCTAATCCCTTCAAATCTGCAGAAGTAAAGCTTATTTTTTTTAGGTAGAACTTCGATAAATTAATACTCGATAAATTAATAATCTAGTTTAAATAATAATTTCTTCCGGTCCTCACTCGGTAAAAACGCATTAAATTATCAGTTCGATAATTTAATATTTCGGTAAATTAATAGAATTTTGTTTGTCCCGATTGTATTAATTTAGATAACGGACAACATAAGTTATATCATCATACTTCGACTTTTATATCGACAATTTCTTCTCTGTATTCCGAAGCACCCGTTTCGATATTAACCTTGTTTCCCCGTTCGATTACCGCTCGCCACTCTTCGATGGAAGCTGTCTGGTCAGCGTCCGAAAACGGCAGCTCGCGTTGGTGGAGATGTGCGATAATCTCTTCAGTTTCGCCGAGAAGACGAGCCGCGTTACGCACACTCTCCTCCCTCTCCTCGATCGCGTTACGGTGACACTTGATCGTTATTACGCGTCCTAGATTAGTCAGACACGCAGCCAGTACATCCGCTATCGTGACGGACAAGTGCTCGAACATTCGGTCGTCCGTCTCGTCACTTTCGCCCCCGTGACTCAGCAAGATTGTTCTGCCTAACCTGTACATCGAGTTTGCCGCGATTACGTGCGCGGGCCAGTTAAGAGGATTCTTCATCAGACAATCTCGTTCTTCTGTCAAGAACTCGACGACGGTTTTTTCGGCTCTGTCACAGAGCTGTCGTAGTATCTCGTCGGCGTTTTCGCCCGTAAGTGCAGTTTCGCGAAGATCCCGGTCTTGCCACTTGTGGTACATCTCGACTTGTACCCAGACGACATCTGCTGCCGTTCTTATGTTCTCGAGACAACCTTTTTTATCCAGCGTTTCGTCTATGAGCTTTACGTACGAGATTCCCTCGGTCACACTTTTCATTAGTTGTTCCGATTTACGCTTCTCTACATTCGGAAGCGCAAGCGCGATGCTAGTCAACGTGACTATAGGTAAAGACCAGCAGTACGGGACATCTTCTTGAGAATGCAGCCTCGGAATTCGACGACTGTCGAATTCCGTAACTCCATTCCAATTGCAAGATCGATTCACGAGGATCGATAAATTCGTCGGCTTTCGTTTCTTGCCTTTTCGAATGACGCTATCCACCTCGTTCAAGATATTCTCCAAACTCTTTGTAGACAGCTTCACCTCCCCTTCGAGCAGCAAAACGTAACGCCCGATGTCCGAGTCCGGATCAGCGGTGGAATATTCCGAGGATATTCCTTTCCGCCTCTTCAACTTTCCGGCGTAGCCGACGCATGAGACGATCGGAATCGTTACACAAACAGAAACGAAAAGCAGCAGCTTGCTAGAAAGAACAACAACATGCTGTAGAAAAATACAGAGCTTAAGAAAAACCCCTCTCAGATGATGGAGAAGTTTTCTGCTCGTGCGATGTCGAATTCGTACCGACAACGAGCTCTGTCTCCACTCCACCATCTTCTGAGTCCAATACCCCTCGACGGTGAAAAACGCATCGCGAATGCTCGTCTTGCTGTACCCTTCATTTCTCGACCGACAGTTTATGGCGACGAACCATCGCGAAGGCGGTGCGACGGTCCCTAACAGAACTCCGATAGTCTGAGAAATCAGAACCCATTTCGTCGACCAATCGTAGCTCGAAACCGACTGATTGAATATATCAACCCGCATCGCCATTCGTATCTCGACCTCCAATAGAACGGCGGCGATAATCAAGCTGATGACACCGGAAGTCGTGCACGTGACCGAACGAGCGATCACGAACTGAGGGCTGCTGGTTTCTGCCATCACCCAATACTTCTTGATCAGACCTCTCAGTTTCATGTTACACGATCTCCCCGTATCGAGCATCTCCTCGTTCGTCGCGGTTTTGTGCATGTCGTGGTACTTTTTCTCCAGGTACGTTTTGGTGGACGGAATCATCAGAGCCGTCGATGCGAACATGACGAGCATGAGGAGCATGCAGCCGATGGCGAGGATTTCTTCGGGGAACGCCACCCTGGCGTTGAGGAACGCGTGGATCTGTATGACCTGGATTGTGACGTTGACGGTGACCGTGACGATGAGAATGGATAACGCGGTGACGTTCATTAAGACGTCGTTGTCGCTCATCGAGCCGAGAGAGGGCAAGAAGTTGGCCATGGCGGTTGATATGAAGACGAGGCTGCTGACTTTGGCGAGGCGGTCCGTGACCGCGTACATGCGGGTTGTGAGATCCATCGGGAGCTTTACGGCTACGGCAAGTAGGGTTAGTGAGGTGGCGTTTAGGGCGAAGTATCTCGATGGGAACCAGTATCTCTTTCTCCAGAATCCGTGCACGGTGTCGGCCGCTACGGCCGCCGTGCAGATTAGAGACGCTGCGGCCACGTATAGGCCCATGCAACGCATCGGTGCCTCGAGATGGCTTTCGACATCCGCGTCGAAAGAAGTTTGGTTTCCGGCCATTGAGAACTAGTGAGAGAGAGAGAGAGAGAGAGAGAGAGAGAGAGAGAGAGAGAGAGAGAGAGAGAGAGATCTTATCTTCAACACTTTGGAAGAAAAAAATGTGCCTAGACAATAGTCAAGAGCCATCATGTAGAATGAATTCTATTTGTTCGCACGAAACATGCATTTGTTTTAGGGTAAAAATTACAAGCCATCTGAAATAAGGTTAAATTACGAAAATACCCCTTATGTTTATAACTAATTATCAATTATGAATTTTTTTACACATCTATCATTGCGGTATCAAATTTATTAAAATCTTCAAGATTATAGGAATATTCTTTAGTTTGTACCCGTTTTACTCCATTTCAGCACCACAATTTAAAACAAGATGGTCATTAGATATGTCACTTGACTTGTAAAATCAGATTGTGGTGCATCTGAAACTGCATTTTTGCACAAAACGAGTACAAAATAGAGAACATTCCACATAATCTAGAAAATTCTGTTGAATTTGACACTATGAGGGTGGACGTGTTTGGAGATCTATAGTTAAAGGTGGTGATTGTAATTAGCCAAATATGAGGGGGTTTTTCGTAATTTGACCTTAACTGAGGGACTGCTGTAACTTACGCTTTGTTTTATTTTAAAGAAAGTGGTGTTTCATAGAGACTTGTGCTTTAGTAATTTTGTGCTTGTCTTTTTCAATCATAATCATAGCTAACATATTTTGATGGATTTCTTCACCTAACTTTGTTACCTTTTGGTCCAATTTTAAATGTATATTTTCCATAGTTGTTGGTTTATACTTAGCCGCCCCTATGATTTTAGGAGCCAAGGTAAAAAAGAAAAAAAAAAAAACTTTTGAAAAAGTAGAACTTGCAAAGAATTGAAATTATTGCATATATGTTTAAAAAAAAATCAATTTTAAGCAATCAATTGTTCAGCTCATTTTTGTGAAATTTCTTAGTGCTCTTATAAATTAGATTTACATGAAACAACAATGATAATGTTTGCAAAAGTTTATTTAAAAACAAAAGTTATAAATTGTGAGTTAAGTGGTTTTAAGTGCTTATTTTTAGTAGTTGGAGGTGTTTGCAAATTTGCTAGAAAATTAACTTAAATGGAAAAAAACACGGTCATAGATGCTTTACAAATTATAGCTTCAAGCTGCCTATTTTAAGAGAAGTAAAGACATAAGTTCATTTTGCAAACACCTAAAAATAGATTATGAACAAACAAAAGATTGTAATGTTTGTAAAAGTTTTTGCAAACACCACTTAAACCTCAAAGGAGGTGTTTGCAAAAGTTTATTTAAAAGTAGAAGTTATAGATTGTAAGTTAATTTGATTTTAAGTGTTTATTTTTAAAAGTTTGGGGTGTTGCAAATTTTCTGGAAAATCAATTTAAACAGAAAAAACAGGGTCATGCGTACTTACTTAGGTGGTGTTTGCAAAAGGTTATTTAAAAGCAGAAGTTAGTAACTGTTAAGTACGTGAATATTTCTAAAAGTTGGAGGTGTTTGCAAATTAGTTGAAAAATCAACTAAAATAGAAAAAAAAAAACAGGTATCTGGATGCTTTTAAAATTATAGCTTAAATCAGCTTATTTTAAGAGAAGCAAAATTAAAAATTTGTTTTGCAAACACCTGCAAACAAATTATGTGCAGAAAAAAGTTTATAATCTATTTCTAAAAGCACTTACAAACACCATCTTAACAAATTATACGTTAAAGTTGCTTATTTTAAGAGAAGCATAAAACAAAATTTCATTTTGTAATCACTTAAAAATAGATTATAAAAAAAAAAAAAAAAACTCATAATCTATTTGTAAAAACTTTTGCAAATATCACCTAAAGTTGTTAGATAAGCTTAAGGCTTTCTTTTAAAAGAAAGACTTTCTTTTAAAAGAAAGAAAAAAAATTCAGAAAATGGGAAAAATCAAAAATTAAACCGTAGGCAATAATATAGGTGAAGGAGAAATTTTCACCTTTGCCGATCTCACGTACGGCGCACGTGCTCAGAATTCCGGTGAATATTGCCGGGAAATGGCAATTTTCCCGACACGATTTCCTTCACTATCGTTAAAAAAATAATAATAATAATAATAAATAACTGCCGAATTACTTCCACACAATCTGCAACTCCAAATTAATTCCTACTTCACTGATGAAGTGGAGCTGGTGAAGAAAGAATGCTGTTGAGAATTACAAGGACATGCGTTTCGTGTACAGGTATATATATATATATATATACCTTTGTGATTTTCCTCTCTCCCTTTTGAATTTCTCAATGCTTTATTTATGGCTGCTGTTTCATGATAGAGATAGATGTTTCTATGGCGATTTGATCAAAATAGCCTCATCGCTGACATTTCCCAAAAATTAGGGCAAATTAGGGTTCCGTGAACTAATGTGACAATTGTAATGTAATCAATAAGATTATGGTGAATTGATGGTTTTAGTTACTGTTGTTGGTAGTAGTGATTTATAACACATCAAAGCGGAAATCATATATATTTAGATGGCCACGATTACTGAGTACTACTTCGTTTAATCGAGGATAACGAACGGAAACATCAGTTTTATAATCCGTCGACTTTTGTACCTGTTTCAATATTCGACTTAGAACTGAATTCCATATTAATATTGTTTTTTTCCTGATCGATTAGTGCTCGCCACTCTTCAACGGAAGCTGCCCGATTAGGGGCCGAGAGTGGCAGTTCGCGTTGGCAGAGAAGTGCAAGGATTTCTTCGGTTTCACCGAGAAGAAGAGCTGCTTTACGCACACTTTTCTCCCTCTCTTCGATTGCATTGCAGTGGCACTTCATTGTTATTACATGTCCTAGATTAGTGAAACATGCAGCCAGTATGTCCGCTATCATGACCGATAACTGCTCAAACAATTCGTCGTCGGTTTCCGCAGTTCGAGTCAGCAAGACTGTTCTGCTGATTCTGTACATCGAGTTGGCAGCAATAACCTTTGCAGGCCAGTTAAGAGGATTCTTCATCAGGCAGTCTCGTGCGTCTCTCCTGAACTCAACGACAGTCTTTTCGGCTTTGTCCCGAAGCTGCTGTAGTATCTCATCGGCATTTTTACCTTTAAGCGACGTCTCGTGAAGATCCTTGTCTTGCCATTTATGGTACAGTTCAACTCCAACCCAGACAACATCTGCCGCAGTTCTTACGTTCGCCAGACGACTTTTTTTGTCCAGAGTTTTATCGACAAGCTTCACAAAGTATAGCCCTTCGGTAACACTACTCAGCAGTAGTTCCGATTTGTGCTTCTCGATGTTCGGAAGTGCAAGTGCGATGCTAGTCAGGGTGACTACAGGTAGCGACCAGCAGTAAGGGAGTTCTCGTGAATCCCGACTGTCGAATTCCGTCACCCCATTGAAGCTGCGAGATTTTTCTAGAAGTTTCAACAAGCTTTCCGGTTTCTTCATCTTTCCTTTTCGAATGACTTCATCGACCTCTTTGCAGATATTCTCGAGAGTTTCTGTAGGCAGCTCTTGCTCCCCTTCGAGCAGCATAACGTAATGCCTAACGTCCAGTTCCGGATCGGCAGTGGAGTAATCACGCGAGACGCAGTGAGATATGCGCTTCTGCTTCTTCAACCCTCTGGCGTAGTTAATGCATGAAATCACCGGACTGGTTATACAGACAGAAACGAGGAGTAGCATTTTGCTAGCCAGAACAATGAAATACTGAACGGAAATGCACAGTTTGAGAAATCGTCGTCTCAGATTATGGAGGAATTTTCTGCTCTTGAGATGTCGAATTTGGAAAGATATCGAGCCCTGTCTCCAGTCAACCATCTTCTGCGTCCAATAGCCCTCCACTGTAAACACACTTCTGATGCTCTTTCCGCTTTCGTTTTTCGATCTAAAGTTTACGGCTATGAACCATCTCGATGCTGGTGCAATGGTGCCAACTATCACTCCAATAGTCTGCGAGAGAAGAATCAATTTTGTCGACCACCCGTAATTCGATATCGACTTTTCGAGTATCATGCACTTCATGGCCAACCGAATCTCGGCTTCCAATAAAACGAGAGCAACGATCAAGCTCACCGCACCAGACGTCGTGCACGTCACCGAACGAGCGATCACAAACTGAGGGCTGCTAGTTTCTGCCATCACCCAGTATTTCTTGATCAGTACTCGCAGTTTATCAGCACTAACTCTCCCCGTATCCACTTGCTCTTCGTTCAGAGCCGTTTTGTGCATCTCGTGGTACTTCTTTTCCAGATACCGCTTAGTGGACGGGATCATCAGAGCCGATGAAGTGAACATAACAAGCAAGAGGAGCATGGAACCAACGGCTAACATTTCTTCGAGAAACGCAAGCCTGCCTCTCAGGTAAGAATGGACCTGAATAATCTGTATGGTTACGTTTGCAGTGACTGTGATCACCAGAATGCTTAAAGCAGTGACGTTCATTAGAACGTCCTTGTCGGACATCGATCCCAAAGACGGCAAGAAATTGGCCATGGCGGTTGACATGAAGACGAGGCTGCTGACCTTTGCAAGGCGATCGGTGACAGCATACATACGAGTGGTGAGATCCACAGGCAGCTTCATCGAAACTGCTAGTAATGTAAGAGAAGTGGCGTTGATGGAGAAATACCTCGACGGGAACCAGTGTCTTTTTCTCCAGAATCCGTGCAGAGAATCGGCAGCCATTGCTAACGTGCAGATCGCAAAAGCTGCAGCAACGT